CATAAATAATAATATTCAATTAATTAATCTTACTTTACAATAAGAAAGGTAACATATCTTTCACTGTGGGTAGTGCGGACCGCGAAAACTCAAGCGGAAAGAAACATAGTATCTCGCCTCTGCAGAGACTCGAACCCAGTCCCGGACTCGTGCAGCGGCGGCTCTCGCGGTCCGCATTGTCCCGGGGTGTCCGCCTCCAGGTAACGCTAAACGCCAATCTCTACGCGTCTGTCGCGCTGCTGCCCCGCGGCCAGGAACGCGGCAGACACGTGGCCTCCAGCACGTCCCCGTCGTTGCGCCCTTTACGCCTGCCTCCGTCTCCTCCGCATCGTGTTGAAGTCGCCGAAGGGGCTGTTAAGGGTGTCGCCGCTGATGTCCGTGGACGCGTTCCTCCTCTTCTTGGTGTTGCCCTCGTCCTGGTGCGCGGCCGGCTTCTCGCCCTGCACGTGGTAGCCGGGCACCAGGATCTCGGCGATGTTGGAGCGCTTCACCTTGACGGTGCGCACGGGCGGCAGGTCGGGCCGGCTATCGTTGTCGCGTTTCATGGTGTTGAAGTCCCCGAAGCCCGAGCTGAACATGTCGCTGTGCGGGCCATCCGAGCTGCGGCCGCCGCCGGCGCCTCCGCCCTGCTGGGGTGCCAGGTTGCGCTTCATCGGGCTGAAGTCCCCGAAGCCACTGTTGAAAGCGTCGTCGTGGAACTTGGCGCCGTCGGTGTTGCGCTTCATCGTGCCGAAGTCGCCGAAGTCGCCGCCGAAGGTGTCACCGTGCAGCCCCGCTGCTCCACCCGACTTCCGCTTCATGGTGCCGAAGTTGCCGAAGCCGTCCGTGAAGGTGTCTCCGTGAAAGGACTCTCCGGGACTTCGCTTCCGCTTCATAGTGTTGAAGTCACCGAAGCCGCCGGTGAAGGTGTCACCGTGGAAACCCATAGCGCCACCTGGTGCTCTCTTCATTGTATTGAAGTCACCAAATCCATTATTGAAAGTGTCACCGTGAAAGCCCATAGCGCCACCCGGCGCTCTCTTCATCGTGTTGAAGTCACCGAAACCATTATTGAAAGTGTCACCATGGAAACCCATAGCACCGCCTGGGGCACGCTTCATCGTGTTAAAGTCGCCGAAACCGTTCGTGAACGTGTCACCATGGAAACCCATGGCACCCCCAGGTGCTCTTTTCATGGTGTTGAAGTCACCGAAGCCATTGTTGAAAGTGTCACCATGAAAACCCATAGCACCACCTGGCGCACGCTTCATCGTGTTAAAGTCGCCGAAACCGTTCGTGAACGTGTCACCATGGAAACCCATGGCGCCCCCAGGTGCTCTTTTCATGGTGTTAAAATCACCAAACCCATTATTGAAAGTGTCGCCGTGAAAGCCCATTGCGCCACCTGGGGCTCTCTTCATCGTGTTGAAGTCTCCGAATCCATTGGTGAATGTATCTCCGTGGAAGCCTAGAGATCCCCCCGGTTTCCGTTTCCTCATGGTCACGAAGTCACCAAACCCCCCGCTAAAGGTGTCGCCCTCAAGCCCAGCCGCAGCAGGAGAGCGCTTCATCGTGCTGAAGTCGCCGAAACCGTTCGAGAAGGTATCGGAGTGCAGCCCCGACCCACCGCCCCTCTTCTTCATTGTGTTGAAGTTGCCGAAGCTGTTGTCAAAGAGGTCGCCGTGGAAACCCTCGGTCCGCCTCTTCATGGAACTGAAGTCCTGATTCGATTCATAAGGGTAGCCCCGTGCGGAGAGCAACCTCCTCTTCATGGTGTTGAAGTTGCCGAAGCCTCCGTCGAAAGTGTCCCCGTGGAATCCGGCTTTGCCGCCAGGCTGTCGCTTTACCGTCTTGAACCCTCCGAAGTCGCCGCCGAGTCCGGTGGACTCGGGCACGCGCTTCATGGTGTTGAAGTCGCCGAAGCCGTTATTGAAGGTGTCGCCATGAAAGCCCATGGCGCCGCCGGGCGCTCGCTTCATGGTGTTGAAGTCGCCGAAGCC